CTTGTTCCAAGTGCCCCAAATTCAACCTTTTCTTTTCTTGCTTACAAGGCTCTCTGTAACATACTACAGCTTTATTTTGCACTTGTAATAAAAAAAAGTACCGATTGTACTGGCCCAGTGATGCCAGCCTCTAGTTACCACTTTAGCAAGGTAGTGTTAGAGTGATGATGTAGCCATGATAGTCCAGGAATTTGTAAGAGGCAAGGATTTCTTAGGGTGGTATCTTTTAATGTATAGTTGGGATAATAAAAGATACCCTCCTAAGAAGTCGTTGCCTCTTCTTTTAACAAGCACGTTCACACTTATTCCCATGGCATCTCTTACAAAGAGGATGGAAGAGGTTCCTGTCCAGACTCACAAACATTTTACTATGGTTTTTGTTTAAGACCCTCCTCAAAAGTTGCTTCTTTCTTGATGCAAACAGTAAAGTGCAAACTTCAAATGAGGAAGTCAGCAGAGAGCCATGATCTCTACCATTGTCTGACTAAAAATCATGCACATTCTATTTGTTATTCTGGTCCACTTGTCTCATTCACCAATTACAAAATGCTCATGTCTTCAAGTAGAAGTTCTTTGGGGAATTGTCATTGATGTTAGTGTAGTGCCTACAACTGTGGGGGCACAGCCTAGTTGTGGCCTTTATTGCAATCTGAGTATCTAATCTTTCTGACTGGTGCCAAGTTATGCAAACACTAAGAGGAGAGGTGGGGGAAAGGATCTTTTAGTTTCTTGGCTGGGGAAAAGTTTTCTTCTGCCCAGGAAGATAATTGCCTTTCTTTTAACCTACCCACATGCCCCTACCTCCAGGCCAAATTTAATCCCCTGTGGGGGGATCCCCTTCAAACTCTGGATTCTTCCAGTCCTTCCCTAATCGGTTTTTAAAAATGCAGGCCACTCCTTGCATAAAAAGATACAATTTTATTTAAGGTGGTATAAATTGAAACTACCTATTGCCAGCAGTGACTTTCATCCTAGAATGCTTTTCATCTGAGAAAAGAAATGCCTTGTGTAACTTTTTACTGTACTTATAAAGGCCTTTTTCTCTCCTAGTGTGTTACAAAGAAAAATAGATTAAAGACAATTTGATGGACTTCAGGATTTGCAATAAAATTGCAAAGAAAAGATTTCACATTTTGAAAAACTTTCTACCCTTGTGTGGTGGAGGTATTTGAGTGTTATCTTTTAGAGTGTATACAGAAAAGTGTTAATTATCCTAGAGGACAGGGTTCTTTGAGTAAATCCATTATCTTTTATTAGACCAACTAATTATCCTAGTCATCCCTCTCTCTCAGCCTTCATGAATAGGTTTTATTATTGATAGTCTGATTGCTTACATTTAGCAGTTTTTGGCTGTACCTTGGGTGCAGATAGATGGGTAGTTTGTGGTGGTATCTCTTGCTTTCTTCCTTGGGTCTGGGAGGAGTCAAGTGATTGTGGTTCCAAAAAGAGTGAAATAGTAGGTATAAACTTATCACAAGTCTCATCTGTCACTTAAGTGCCCAAAGCCCACCTATCGGAACCTTCAGCTCTATTCAATAACTCCTATAATGTACTTACAATTTACCTAAGGTTTTACTTTTAAATTGTGTGGTAGCATAACACAGTATTTAATTGAAAATTAAATACAGATCTGTGTTACTGTACTGGAGTAATTTTTTTTTTTTTTAGTTTATATTGTAGTCTCCAGTACAAATACTAGTTTTTGAAGGGACGCTCTAAAAAGAACTTCAAATTTTCAAAATTGTCCACATTTTCTTGTGAGAGCTATATCCAACCTTTTAGTTATACAGGCAGTCCTTGACTGAAGACATTTTGAGTTCCAACGAACAGCACTTACGACGTTTATAAATTGACACCACAGTGAACAAGTTCACTGCATCACCCATCTCCCTGGAGAACATCTGTCCAAACTTCCTTGGACACTTTCTTTAAGAAAGCAGACAAGACTCCAGAAAGAACCTGCAGCCAAGACTCCTGAGAAGACCCCAGCCAAGAGCCCTTCAAAAAGTCCAGCAAAGTCACCTCAGAGAAGTCCTTCCAAATCAGTATGATTTCTATTTACAATATAAATACATTAATGTAGCTATATTACTAGTCTATAATTGATTGAGTATAAAATTCTGGGTTATTTTCTGTGAAAAATAGAGTATCAGGCCTTGGTTCAGTGTGGCAGGGCACTAGGTGTGCCTGCCACTTTAAGGACCTGGAGCTGGCAGCCTCCAGGTGCCTAATGAGGGCAGCCATTTTAGGCTGAGGGCTGCTGAGTCTCATCTGGAGGTAAGGGAGGAGCTGTAGGGGATGGTAGAAGGCTCCTGGTCCTTGGTATGACTGGAAACTATACCCTCCCAGGAATGGGTGGCCTGGTGGGGCTCCCAGTGGCACGGGAGCCCCCAGGAAATGCCAGGCCAGTGATCACCCTGGTGAAAGGCAGATCAGGGCTCCTTAACCCCTAGCCCTCACCTTAGGGTGGGTCGTGTACACCGGAGGGAGTTGTGGAGGTGCAAGCCCTGAGGAGGAGAGTTGGGGGCCAGGTTTGGCCAAGGCTGCCTGAGCCCTGCGGGGGTTCAAGACCCTGAGGAGGAGAGTTGGGGCCAGGCACGGCTAAGGCCACCTGAGCCCACTTGTGGAGGGAAGCCCCGAGACCCCGAGTAAAGGGGAAGTTATGAGCAGTGTGGAGCCCCCAGTGTGAGGGGGGCAGCGTGTGGAGCCCTGTGAAGGGAGGGGGGCTCAGCCAGAGAGAGGGAGCTGAGTCTTCACCCCAGTAAGTCCTCCAATGCAGGAGGCAGAGTTTGGGTCAAATATAACACCAGTAGTAGCACCACGACCTGCTGCCAGGGGAGGAGTGAGAGTCCTCTATGAGACCCTGAGGCACCAGTCGTGGTGTGAGGTGACCCCAGCTCCCCATGTCTGTGGAGGAGGACCCAGGGAGGGGGACCCTGAGAAAAGAGTATGGGTCACACATCAAGCCTGCCAGAGCTTCCCCTGACTGGCCCAGGCCAGGAGGATCAGAAGGGCAAGGAGGCCCACTGAGAGGGATGCCTAAGAGCCAGGGGCCTGGGGTCCTGACTGGCTTGGAGGTGGGCCAGGGCTAGTGTGAGCCGAAAGTCCCAGTGCGGGGACCACACCCGAAGGGGAACTGGTGGCAGGGAGATGTGTGGCCCAGTATGACGGCAGCAAAGGAACTCAGTTGAGGGTACTACAGCAGGATTCTGGGCCCCATCGTGGGGGACCAGCACATATGAGAACATCGATGTCATCAGTGAGGCTTGGGCTGCGGTGTAGGGGAGGAATGGAGCCGCAGATAGTGCCCCCTAGCAGTGTGGCAGAAAATGGGCAGCTTCCCACTTAATTACATCTATTAATTAATCAATTAAGACCAAGGTATGGTGGGTGAGAAAGTGGGCAGTTAGCCCAAGAACAGGTGGGTGGGCCACACGGAGATCGGCCACAGTAGGCCCCGTCTTGCATTCAGGAACCAATCCCCCATTTATAGGATTGTTCCTATTGGAAAATCAGTTCCGAGTTATGGCCTTTCAACTTAAGACATGGTTTCCAGGAATTGGTTGTGTCGTAAGTCCGAAAACTGCCTGTACTTAGAATTATAGAGAACTAGGGCTGGAAGGCACCTCTAGAGGTCATTTTGTTTAACCCTCTGCCTGAGGCAGGAACATCCCTTGAAGTCTTTTGGCGATTTGGGGCAAACCTTATACTGCTATCATACCCCATCTCCTCTAGGAGACTTTGTTAGGGCAGGCACAACCCAGAACCTAATAACATTGCGGTTAGGGGGGAGCACAGGGCACCAGGGCCAGTTCTTGGGGATGCCAGGGGCTGCTGCAGACAATGTGTGATGAGCCTGCCCCCAGCAGCAGCAGCTCGAGGCCACACAGTTACTGTCTGAATTTGAAGAGCCAGGCAGGTAAGTCTCCTTTCCAGTGGATGGCATAATCCGTGACCCCCACCCTGCCCAAGGTGCTCAAGGAGCTTGCCATGCTTCTGTCAAAAATGTCTAAAGATTTGTGTCATTTTGAAAAACTGCAGTCATAAAATAATTTAGTAACAAGCTTCTGTGTGGGATTGCTGCAGCATTGTCCATAAAGTGTCTTGTTACAAAGTAGGAAAGACATCAGGAGCTTTGAGAGAAATGTATATCTGGTATGACTACAAAAGCAGAGGCTGCCACCTTAAAGATGTCATAATGTGTGTTAGTTGTGAACAGACTATTGCATTTGGAAACTCTTACCCAAGTAGGAGCAATGTATTTAGCACCACCACCTACCTTTGTATGTGGCTGTAAGGGTGTGTTATCATGGAAGTGAATGGTATACTGCTCGAGGCAATGCTTTGCAACTGCAAATCTCTGACTACTTAAGAGGGTAACTTGTGTTACATAATTGCAAATGATCTTAAACATACATTGTTATCTAGCATTCAGACATGGGAAATTGGATCATAACATGCTCTGAGCATCAAGGAGTTCAATTAAAGGTACAGGTTACAGAAGTTGTCGATTGAAATTGTTCAGTGTTACTGAAGTTTAAGTTGGGTTGCTTCATCTCTGTAATAGCAGAATTCTCTTTGGCAGCCAATCAAGCTGAACTGTTTGGCTTTCATCTCAGCTTGTTGCTTGGGTGAAGGCCTTTGGACTCTTTTGTGCCATGCTTTTGATATTAAACGCCCAGGGTCAAAACTTGAATTCACTTGAGTCCATCATGAAACTTTTTTACTGACGACACTGGGACCAGGAGAAGCTTCTTCTGTGTTACATAATGGAAAGATTGCACTTGTTAGGTAAATTGTCCTTCTACATGAGGAAAACTGTTATAATCATTTCCATTTTGAGTATTAAAACTTAATTGAGCCTTGCTAATCAGCCTTACTGATGTCTTATTCCATTGCAAACCAATAGTTTGACACTGATTTTTGAAGGAAACTAACTCTGTTCTTCTCTTTTCATGCATCATCTGAATTATGAACCATGATTATTGCTCGCCAAATAGTACGGTAAGGAAAAAACTTTTTACTTAATTTTAGTCGCTTGTAAACTTATGAACTGGCTTGATTCTTATCTGAGGAAGTGTATTGCCAAGGTCCAAGACTCTCAAGTTTTAGTAAAAGACTTATAAAGAAGGTCCCATAAAAGAAACCAAACTTCAGAAATGTATGTCCAGTCACAAAGAAGCTATGATTATGAGAATGAGCTTGCAGATTCTTAAAATAAACTGATTGCATGCAACTTCCCACCCCAAAATAACAAAATTCTATTTGTTACTGAATTTCCATGGCTGTGTTTCTAAGTATAGCAAATGACATCTTGAAGTAGAATCTCAGAATGGTAAGTGCCATTATAGCACATGTGTCTTTACCTAGGCATTACCATTGAGGTACAAATGAAATGTCCTACTAACTTAATTCTCATGGTTTGTGACCAGTGATTGTCTTGTTAGATTTGAATTCAGTGATTCTGATGCTGATGTGTTTTCCTGGTCAACTATTCATCTCTTCACAATTTGCTAAGAACAATTACACGTGAAGAGCTTCATCTTTCCCTGATTCTGGTGATACTGAGTTACTAGAATATCATCTTCAAATAGATGCAAGAATGACTTTGTTAACTGTAAAGGTCTCTAGATTGTCCTTTGGGGTGGGGGGAGGTATCCTATTTATACCTCTCCTGTTTATCCCATCTGACCTAAGTAGCTAATCATTTTGAGGGGTCATGTCTTTGTCTATAGAAGGACAAATTGATAGTCTGCAAACAAACATGATTGCACCAAAGAATGTACAAAGTCCTGTTTCCCTACCCAAAGTAAAAATCAAACAGTTTCTCTGGTCATGGTGCTAAGCTTTCTCAGCAAACATCCTGCCCCAAAAATCCTTTGCTTTTGTCTCAGTCGCTCTCATTGCTTTTTCAGCTTTGTTGTTCCTTTCTCTAACTGTGGCTCTTTCATGCATGTAGCCACTGACACTGCAGCGCTTCAGTTAAACCTAGAGAATAGGTGTTTGATTTATTGGACCTCTGGGAAATCCCTGTGGCTTCTCAGCCACTATTCAAGCATGTGTGCAACCTGGTCCTCAAGCAGCAGTCTTCCATCATTTTATTTCACTTTAGCTTTAATGGAATGCTGCTCCTGTCCAACAGGTTTAACGTGGTGTGATTTACCTCAAGATCTAACATATTGGCTGCAACCTGCCCATCCTTCACCCTAAAATAACCCCTCAGTTAAACTGAGGGTTTTTTCCAACCTTTATTGACTTGGACTTACAGTTTAGAGATCAGTCTCTAACAAATAAGATGCACATTTAAGTTGGGTGGTAAGCTGTCTTCTAGATGTGAGGTTACAGTGCTGACCACAGAGTAGTTGTGCTGCTTATTGATGGCTTGCAAATGGTTGGTTTGTTTTGCTCGCATCCTCTTCATAGGCAGAACTGTGTTAAACCTATTTACTTGAGAATATTGGGATTTTCCCCTTAGTGAAGAGCATAAATATTATATAAAATAGGCAGCATTTTCCCATTATGTGCCTGAAACTCTTCTGTATTCTAACTTGAAAGTCAGCTCTAACATGATGCTACCTTTCCAGAATTCTGCATGATTTTAAAAAAGTCTATTTTCCTTTTTCTCTATTTTCAGCACTTTTGGGGGCCAGTAGCTAACTGGGGACTCCCTATCGCTGCTATTAATGATATGAAGAAATCTCCAGAGATCATTAGTGGCCGAATGACATTTGGTAAGACCCATTTTGAAATAATTAGACTTAATCTCAGCAAACTATTGAAAGTCTACAAAAAAATCTTCTCAAGTGCTTCTCTTTTAAATGTAGTTCTTAGTTTAATCTGTCTGCTAGCTGGTTGTTAAAGGAAGATGCTTGTCACATTTTAAATGGTATGATGTGCAACTTTAAAATAACTAAACTTCAGTTTTTCAGTGTGTCACTTAAGACGCCTCTTAAGGGAGCCCTATATTCCAGAAGAAATAAGCTGTAATTTGAGTATATGAAGACCTTGAAGAATGTTGACCTGGGTACCCAGAATTACTAGTTACTCTTGGAAAGTTGGTTCCACGTCTTTTTTTCTTACTGATCATCTATGTTAACTCTTGTCCTATCCCTCCAATAGCAGGACTTTCATTGATGCTACTTGTGGTACAGGATTTAAGTTACAGTATTGGCAAAGTAGAGAACTGAAAGAATTTATAATCTAAAACTTGAAATGCTGTTAGCAAAGCAAAATAAGCTGGTTTCAGAGAGTAACACTGGTCTCAAAGGTTGCCTGTAAATGCCAGGGAGCTATCATTACTCTTGGAAGAGTAGTGAAATGAGTTGTCTTTGTTTTGTGCGTTTAGAATATCTACTTCTTAAATGGATTTTTATTTATTTTTATTTATTTATTTATTTTTTTACTGTCAAGGGTCCTTTTTTCCCCCTGATATGTGTATTGTTTTCCTTCCTCTTCTGATACATTTTCATTTTATTTTACTTTCTCCCTGCATTATAAGTCATTTTAACTGTGTAATATACAGCTCTTAGAATACATAAATGCGTGTATTTATAGTTTGGCTAACCTCTTCCCTTAATTTACTCATCTGTATGTTGATCAGATTCCTCCCCACCCCCTGAAACTGCAAAGGGTCTGTTGTCTTGTCTTAATTAATGGTAACCTTTGGGAAAGCACTGAAGTGTCACTTTGTTCAGCCCTTCCAAATCTTCTCTACTGACACTGAGTGGTTACTGAAAACAACATTGTGGTCCTTGGGTGTTTCATCTCTTCATTTTAAAATGTGTTGCTCATATAAAAAGGGAGCTTCAAGTCGCTGTTGAAACTCTGCCCACTACATATGGGGAGAGATGCAGCTAAAATAGCCTTAGTTTTTGGAGGAGGATTTTAAAGTAGTGAAGTTGCACAACTCTTTTATATATATTTTGCCAAAGGACTTTGCTGTATATGTGCACTACAGCACAATGGTCATTTAACTAGTGTAGATCAGGGTTGCTCACCCCCTGGCCTGCAGAGTGGCATCCAGCCCACAGGCTTCCCCACAGGTCTGAAAATTTGGCAGCAGGAAAGTGATGACTGCTCCCTAGCTAGCAAATTATCAGACCCAGAAGGAGCCCTGTAGGCTAATAGCATGCCCCTGCACGCTAAATCAGGCATGCAAGATCTGGGTGGCATGGGGCAGGATCTGAGCAGTATAGGACCCAACCCCACGGACTGGCCACCATGTCACTTGCAGCCTACAAGGCCGAAAGAGTGAACATCACTGGTGTACAGTATACATGGAACCCCTTTTCTCAAGCTGAAGGTTATGTAACTAAGTTTTCTCATTTAGTACTGCAGTCTCCTGCCTTCTGACAGCGTTGCAACAATTAGCTGTCTATGCTGTACTTGTTCTCTTCCCACAGCATTATTGCTAGAAGTTTATGTAAGACACCTTATACAAATAAGTGGAAACCATTTGTTCTTCCCCATTCTTGCTTCTAGAAAAGCAAATGCTTCTTTTCAGATAACTTTTCTCCTCGGAGTCAAGCTCTGTTATTATCAAGAGCTGTTTCACCAAGGTTTACAAAATACATTTTTTTTTTTGCTTCTGAACTTTCATCTAAAAACAATGTTTTACCCTACAACTGTCCTTGGATTTTAACTTTCTACTCCCTGCCATAAGTGCACTTAAGTGAAGATTCAGATTGTTAAAGTTATACTTTAACCCACTTTAACTTTTCTTGTTGGGAAATGTGGCTTATTGAAAGGATAACCTTTGTCCCATTTTCAAACCTGTGTTAAACTTTCCCATGTTTTAGATGGGTTTAGCTAGAAAGATGTCAACGTAGTTGCAGATTTGTGAGTTCACATTGAAGTCTTTAGTAGAAGATTCCTGGGGGATTGATTTGACCCTAAATTGAGCAAATTTTACCTGGGGTTTAGAAGGGGAATTCACTGTGGGAGTTCATAATTCTGTGTTTGTATTGCAACAACTGTGCATCTTCAGCTGAAGAGCAGGTGAGAAGAATGTTGTAGAATGGTTGGCATGGGCTGAGATCCATCCCTTTAATGAAAATGGCCTTAGTATCAATGACATAAAAACGGTGTCACAAGATATAGTTGTGGGGTTTTTTTTTTCTTTTTAATTCATGGTGTCCTTAAAAATAAACCGCTGACATGCTGTCTGCTCTGTTTTTACAGCACTGTGTTGTTACTCGTTGACTTTTATGAGGTTTGCCTATAAGGTGCAACCAAGAAACTGGCTTTTGTTTGCGTGTCACTTAACTAATGAATGTGCACAACTTATCCAAGGAGGCAGACTGATGAAATATACGTAAGTGATGTTGTAAAATCTGGAATCAAAGTGCAACTGCAAGCTTGTTTTTGGTGCATTGTATATATAAGAAGAAAGAAAGAAAAAGAAAATGCTGAAAGCTGCACTGCCATGTCACATTGATCTCCTCCTTTGACAGAGTAACTGGTGGAGGAAAGCATGCTGTGGATATAGTATTTCTGGACTTCAGGAAGGCGTTTGACAAGGTCCCACATGCCCTGTCTACCCCACATTTTTTTCAATTTGTTTATGAGATGAACCACTATAAGGTGGATAGATAGCTGGCTCAGTAACCACAAGCAAAGGCTAATTATAAATAGATCCTTGTCAGGGTGGCAAGAGGTCTGGAGTCGAGTCTATCTTGGGCCCAGCACTGTCCAATGTATTTCTTAATGATTTGGATACTGGTATAGAAAGTTTCTTGAGCAAGGTTGCAAATGACACAAAACTGGGAAGAACTGAAAGATGGGAGCACAATTCAGAGGGATCTCAACAGATTAGCAAGCTAGGCTGAACCTAACAGGATGATGTTCAGTGCTAACAAATGCATGGTGCTACACCTCAAGAAGCATAATCAAAACCGCAGATACAAAATGGGTGACACATGGCTGGATGGCAGCACTATGGAGAAGGATCTGGGAGTCTCTATCGATCACAGACTCAATATGAGTGTACTGTGTGATGTAGCCACACAAAAGCAACTGTAGTTTTGGACTGCATCAATAGAAGCATTAGGTGCAAGACACAGGAAGTGATAGTGCCTCTCTGCTTGGTACTGGTTAGGCCTTAGCTAGAGTGTGTGCCGTTTTGGGGTCCACATTTGAAAAAAGACATGGAGAAGTCAGAGGGTCCAGAGGCAGGCAACAAATATGACAAAGGACTTGGGAAGGTTAGTCATACAAGGAGAGGAGCTAGGCATGTCCAGCTTGCAGAATAGGTGCTTAAGAAGGGACTTCATACCAATTTCCAAATACTCGGAACAGCTGCTGTAAAGAAGAGGGAAAATATCTTTTCTTCCTTGCCGAAGAGAGTAGGATGCAGACAAATGGCTTGAAGTTGCAGCAGCATAGGATGTCAAAGGAAGTTTTTTACTCTCAGAACAGTGAGGCAGTGGAATAGACTGTCTAGGGAAGTTGTGGACTCTCCATCACTGAAGTGTTCTAGAAGAGGTTGGACAGCCACTAGTCCAGGATGATTTGGAGCCTACTGTGGGTATGGGTATCCCTATTCTATGGATGCCTATATCCTATATGTGTATTTCCCAAGCTTTTGGACTGTGCTGGTTGCCTCATGAAGCCAGGAGGGAACTCTTCCTCCTCCTGCTGCTGCATGTGACAGGGTTTAAGCTTTCCTGGGAGACATTGGGTGTTGGCTGTAGCCAATGCTGCAGATTTTGATTGGGGTGTGTCACTGCTCCTGCTGAGACTTAAAGCCAGAGGTTCCTGGCTTGCCTGTCCACTTGGTCAGACTGATCACCCTATTTGCAACCATATCCAAGTTGCAATTTCCACTGTAAGCCCAAGCTTTAACCAATTATAATTAAGTAATCAGCCTTGCATTGATGTTTTTCTTTTCTTTTCTTTTTGTGCTCCCCCTAGGATGGAAAAGAAGAACTAAATTTGAACAAAAAAACAGGGAATCTGCTCATCTTGAATTGCAGCAAAGGAAGAGTGTTGCCATCTACAGTTATTGTAATGCAGATTGTTGCATTGTTTTTATCCATTGTAATATTTATCACAAATACAAAATTTTACCAACATGACACACCATCCTTCCACTAACTTACAGCTTTTTAAAAAAAATACTCCTTAGCAATGTAAATCATATATCAGTTTGCTGCCTCACAATTTTTTATTTTCTATAAATGAAGCTCCTCCAAATCCTGTGTAGAATATTTTTAAGAGGACGAGATAACTCTAACCAGCTATGAAACTAAAGGCACAGGACAATTTCGCACAATGTGTTTAAACTTGCTAAACCAACATTAACTTGGAAGATAATAACCACAGAGATGTAGGTGGCATACATATGCAGAACAAATTAAACATTAAAAAGCCATTTAATGTAGTATTTCCTGACTATATTTTATCATTTAGAATTTTTATCAACAGTGACTTGCTAATTTGCAAGCACACATTCTACATTGGCCACATCAGGTTATTTGCTTATTATGGTTTCAGTCTAGGCTGAATGGGACCCATGTTCCCATGGGTCCCATTCAGTCTAGTTAGTAATGGGACCCATGTTCTAACCTGAAAGTGCATATTACTTATTTGAGGAAATAACCCCTGGTCCCTAGAGTTAACGTGAAAGAAGCAAAGTCTAGTTGTAAACTGAAGGAATGCAACAATTGTTTTGTTGTTTGGGGGGTTTTCTTGTAACAATCCATATTTAAGAAGCTGTAAATGGATTTTGACATCCTTACTTTATATGCTTGATTCTCTGAAGATCTTTCCAATTCTTACTGAAGTGGAGAACTTTTTATTTAGTTAAAGTGATGTTTAAGAGTTGGGAAGGACAAATATCTTTTGCTTGTAGTTGTCCAACTTCATGTTGTGGCAGTTGACTTTTTTCTATTCAGTTCTGTCACATGTTTTAATAGTGGTATTAATATATGCAAATATATTTAACCTAATGTGTGCAACAGACATTGTTTCTGATGCAACAATTTTTGAACAGTAAAATCTGTCTCTAAATATTGGCAATAAATCCTTCCAGTGCAACTCTTCAAGTCACTTTTTTTTCACAATACTGCTATTGCAGGTATTGAAGAACATCCTCTACACGTGGAAGGTCCCATGGAATCAAAGCTTCTGGTATGGGCAATCTACTGTAATGACCTGAAGTAAAATTAAAATAAACTGGAGAACGAGAGTATTTTGGTTTGTGGAGTTGTTTGGTGTTCAGCTGCCTATGACAGACTTGCTGGCATACAGGTTACATTTCTGTAAGAAACCTGCTCCTTATAAAAAATTGGGAGGGACCGTTGTTAGATTAGACAGGGGAAAAAGAACTGCACTACCATAATTTCTGGTCTCCTCTGATACCCAAATTTGAATTGTCAATTAACCTAACTTATTAATTTCCTCTTGAGCATATAGTACTGAGAGAGAGATTTTTTTTTTAAATTATATTTGTTATAACACACACATGGCTACTGAAGATAGTCTTTCCAGCTATGGGAATCTGTCAACTTCAAGGTAAAGTAGTTGACAGATAGTATCTTGTGTCAAGCAGGCCACATGATACAATAGTTGAATTTTTCCCCCTCAGTCTGTAGACCTGTGACTAAAGCGGTTACAAATATGAAGTAAAAAGCATGTTATACTAGTAGCATCTTTCTGATTTGTGAATCCTGCCCAGAGTTATAGTTGCTGTATTATTCTTCACAAGAAGGACTGATGCATGATGTTGCTGCTAATGGGAAGTTCCTTTCTGATCCCTTATTTGTAAGACGCCATCAACATGGGTCAAAACTTTCAGCGCTTCTATATGTATATTAAACACTGCACTGCAAAATGGGACTATCATCTCCAGTTCTGGCCTCAGCTGGAATTCTGGGTCCCACTTGGGGCACAGCATTTTTAGAAGGATATAGAAAAACTATAGTTTCTATAACAAGCCAGAGAAGGACTGGGTAAAGAAACTGGGCATGTTCAGTTTAGAAGAATGGAGATTAAAGTGGAGAAGAAAGTCATGATAGCAGATTTCAAATATTTGAAAGGCTGCCCTACAAAAGTGGGAAAAAATGTTCTCCTTTGTCATAAAAGATTGGATGCAAGGCCATGGGTTAAAACAGCAACAAACAGGTTTAGGTCAGAGGAGGGGCACACTGAAGTGCTCTGGGTTAGAATACAAGGCAGTCAAGGGGAAAGAGACTTAACAGTGGGGGTCTACTACAGACCACCTAACCAAGGGGAAGAGCTAGACCAGCAGTGCTTAAGTCAGCTCATGGAGGTAGTTAAGTCAAAGGATGTGGTCCTCATGGGTGACCTGAACTATCCAGACATCTGGGAAGAGCAGTCGGCCGGGTCTGACAGCTCACGTAGGCTCCTAGCCAGAATGCAGGACCTCCATCTA